AACAATTCTTGGAGGAACCCTTGTGTATCCTCTCATAAGCTCCCCCTCACAAGATCCTCTCTCTCTCTCTCTCCCTCTCTCTCTCTCTCTCTCCTTTAGGTTTTCTCAGGTCAAGACAGTAGCCAAGGATGTTAAAAATATGTTGAACAAGAGCTCTTAAATAGAAGAGCTTCAAAGGAGCTCATTAATTGCAAGTTGCCTACTTTATCGTCCAGATGATATTGAAATTGTCCTAGCCGATCAGTACAAATCTCATAAGATCGGCCAGAGCATCACCTTGAATGCAAACTGGATAATTAAAAATTTTCTTCATCGTCTCGGACGATCTCATGATCATCTCGTCCGATCAGTTCAAATCAGAGGAAAATCGTCCAGAGCATCACCCTGAATTTGAGCTGTCCGATCCAAATCGGCCAGGAGCAACCAGGGTTTTTGAATGGATCATCCATGTCAATCTTACAATCTTCCAAGATGATGTGATCATATCAATCATCCTTAATTACTCCCATGATTGTCGGATCAATTTAGGCATAATTATATAATATCGTCCAGGCCGATCAAATAATCGTCCTGGCCGATTTCTGAAAATACATAATACCTAAATTTATCATGGAGGCAATTTCTTTCTACATTGAGCATATCTTCCTGGCCGATATAGGTATCGTCCAGGCCGATCAGTTAATTAAGGCTGCCTTAACTAAGAAATCCTGATTAGATCTTCTATTTTGAACTCGATCGTCCAGGACGATATAAATATCGTCTCGGCCAATGTGAGTGCAAAAAAATAAGTTCTAAATCTCTCAAGTGTGTGTGTATGGTTACTTAACATCAGTCACTTCAAACAATTACAATTGACCCAAGAAAGAAAAAAGTAAATTACAGACAAACTCAACCCTAATCTACCCAGTCTTGAGCTGATTTCAATTTCTGTCCGATCTTTGAATCCTAAAAATGTCAGCAGTAAAGGTAGTCGAAAAGAAGCAAGAGTGTTTGCCAATCATCAAAACATAGTCCATGAAACTGAATTTGCAATAGTTACGTCCTCGAAATTTGTAAGTGGCATATATCTTTTATAGTGGTTGAGATATATTGTCCTATAGTTTTATTGGATGGCATTAGTTTAATTCTGAGAAACCTATTGGAAATATTCTTAGTTGTTTCTTGGATGTTTGATAATAGTTGTATTTACTTTCTAGTTTTTTGGTTTAGTTTCTTTTATTTTCTTTTAGCCTTATATTTTTTTTTTCAAAATTTATTCTAATTGCTTATGGGATCAGTACTAGGTCTTATTTTTTAACCGATTGGGAACTCTGGGATGCTAACCAACCTTTCAGGTTGTTTAATATTTGGTATCCCCTCCACCCCAAGGGTTTTAAAATAGGAAATAGTGGGTCTTATTTCAATTATGATTAGTTTATTTTAACAAATATACTTTCAATAAGGTTCCTTTCTCTTTTGGATCAGGGAACCCTTAGTTTTTATTTTGCTTCTACTTTGTATTTGGAATTTCTTTCTTTTTTTTAATGCAAATCACATTTCTTCAAAAAAAATTAAAATCATATTTCGTGTCAATGGTTTTATGATCCAAAAGAGAAATTTCAAAATAAAAATAGGAAGAATTCCATGAGTTTGCAAGTAGATTAGTGAAGTCCTATTTTGTAATACATTAAAACTACCAGATAAGCTCCAAAGAGAAAGGCTGAAATAAACAGAGAAGGAAAAAAAATGCCTACAACAAAATCTATTAAAGTTCCTTAATTCATTAACTTCTAGCATTATCATTGAAGGCAATGCATATCAATTACAGTCTAGGATTTCCTAAAGCAACTATAATTCAAGCTCATATCCAAGCTCACACTATTCATATCTATGATGACACAACCAAACCTAAAAGGATAAAAAAATATTAAAAAAAATGAAAAATGCAAACCTATGTATACGGTTCGGACTCAAACACTAGCTTTACCCAAAATTGGGGATGATCTTCGGCCATGCTTTGATGCCAGAGTGGGGGTGAGATCTTCAGCAGGAGGGAGCTTGATGGTGGCCAGAGGGAGCATCTCTATCGCGACTTTCACGAAAGGAGACGGGGGCGACTATAACATAGGAGAGAGAGGAGGATGGGAGTAAATTAAATGGAATACTAGGGATGGCTAATTTTAGGTCTTTCTTCGGCGGCTTTTCGGTGATTCTGATCGCAAAAAAAAAAAATTCACTTAACACCAGCAGTTTGAGCCACTGGTAATGTGCCGGTAAGAAATAATATCGACAGACTAACCAACATGTATTGGACCACCACTATTTCTAGTGGTGGTAAATTAAATAACTACTGCTAATACCGGCATTTACATAGCTATCATAACAGACTGCCAGTAATTAATGAATTTCCTATAGTGCATATATTATGCTAAACAATAGTTACTCTCCTTTTTCCCCCACAAAAAGTTTGTGAAGCCCTTAAAAACTCTCTTTCACCAACCCAGTGCGATAGAGAACTCTCACCATTTACACTCTGCAAGTGATGACAACATACCTTCACGACCTTTTTCACCCACCTAGTGAAGGTAAAGTACCTATCTAGAAGAAAACTATATAAAATAGTACATTACGATTAGGTTCATTTTCAATCTCTCTGGAAGATGCTAATATTTTTTTATCCTGGAATAAAAAGATTTAAGGTTTATAAGTGATGAAAAATATTAGAGTGCTTTTACAAACATCAAGTAGTTCCTTATGAATCCTTCAATTCTTGCTACCCCTATCTTTGTGAAGCCATTAATTTTATGTATTGTAGCCTCTTATGAGCTAGTTGGTGCCTTATTGTCTCAAATAAATAAAGATGGCAAAGAAAACTCCATTTATTATCTTAGCTGATGGCTTATTCCAATTGAAATTAAATATCCTCCCATTGAGAAGCATTACCTTTCCTTAGTTTTTACATCCCAAAAGTTAAGACATTATATATTTTCTCATCATGAAAGATTAATATCTAGAACAAATCCACTATAGTATATTATGACCTCATCTACATTGTTAGGATATTTGGCATGATTTTCTATGATATTGGTTCAATTTAAAATAATTTTCAGTCCCTTATGTGCTGTGAAAGGGCAAGCATTATTGATTTTCTTGCAATTTCTCCACTCGTGATAGAGTTTCCCCTAAATGATGATTTACTCGATGAGCAAGTCATGAGTTTGGGGAAATTGGATCATCATGCCTTATAATTATATTTTGATTGTGTGGTATCTCTCAAACAAAAAGAAGCTAAAAAATTTACTCTTCCTAGAAAAGCTAGAATTTGCTTGGTTTTCGTAACACCTGAAAAAGGAATGATGCATTCCTGATATAATTTATCAAATCATTATATGAATAATTAGATTGAATATGAAACTATGATAACTAGATTGGACCTTCCAATATTGATGGATATAAAAAAAAAAGTCAAAATCTTTGGGTGTTCTTATCGCCTTTAATTCCATATGCTTTAGTTTGGTTTTAAAAGATTTTTTAAATTATTTTTTTTTTAAACTGCCTAATTTTATAGTATCATTTCTTACATGCTCTCTTTTTTGGCATTGACTTCATTAGGTGTTTAAGGACAAAAAAAATCTTCTATAAAGAATTAAATAAAAGAAATCAAGCTCACATAGAAAGATAAATGTTCCTAAGAAGTAAGCAAGAGCACATCGAGAGTTCTTATGTATTCACACCTTTCTTCTCTCCTTGTTAAGCATCTTCTCGCTTGTATTAATAACACTCTACCTGGCCTATGAAGGTGTAATTCTATCTTAGAGGATGTTGCACTTTTTTGTGAAACATCTATTTTTATGACTATTTTTTAAGTTTAAAGCATATTACTTTTGCATAAAGAGTCAATTTG